CTAATGTGGGTGAGAGCTGTAAATCGTCAACTGGCAGTTCTATCAACTTTGGAGGGTGTATCATCCTGTGTTCAAATGGAGGAGGTGGATGAGCGAATAATTTTGCACGTTGAAAATATGGTTCTAAACGGATCAAAATCAGTGCTTATTTGTTGTACCGACACTGACATTTTGGTTTTGGCTATATTTTTTTATCCTCAATTGGAACGTCTAGGCCTGGAAAATCTCTGGCTGCTGTATAGATGTCCTAAAACTTTACAATACATTCTCGTTCACATTGCAGAAATGCTTGGTGATAGAAAAGTAGAAGCTGTACGTGGTTCCATGCTTTTACTGGGTATAGTTTATACGAAGTCAATCCGAATAGCATGAAAACTGTGTACCTAGGCGGTATTTTCTTATGAAATTAAGCATATGCGTACAACAGCCTAGGGATTCCCAAGAACGAGGAATTCTAATTTCCATTCCTAGGCTGTTGTACGCATACATCTATTCTTAATTTCATAAGATGATGCCGCTTACACAGTTTTTATGCTATTCGGATTGACTTCGTATAAACTATAACACCGTATCATTTCTGTCATCATAAGGCAAACGACCGGCGTAGAAAGCTTGGATTGAAGAAACAACATCCGCATTTCGTGCAATATCTTTCCCCTTCGATGGTTTAGAAAACGATGTTCCTAGAGCACTCCAAAAATATGTGGTACGCCCATATAATGTTCAGTTTAATGAGCAACATAGGGCCAAAAAATATTTATTTTTAACCGAAAACATCCAATAACGCTCATTCTACCAACTGCAGTGGCTCTCCATGAGCACATATTAAGCGCAGCGGATCATATTTGGGGTAGAGCGGATGAGATATACCAAGGTATGTACCACCAATAATACATAGAATAATAGAAACTTGAATATGTTTTTTGTGTAGCTCTTGACGTTATAACCATTATAGAACGATGTTGCCAAAGTCATCAATTTCAATATAAGTAATGGCAATGTTACCCCATGAGATTTATTCTATTTCGAAGGTGATTTGACTAATTTTAAATTTAACTAGGATGGTTTCTGTAATAACAATACTAGTGATTAGATAGATGATAGATTACGAAAGTTTTAAGCCAAAAAAAAAATGTTTCAGTTAGAGTTATGTTTTATAAGTTGATTCAGAAATTTTAGTGTCTTCTCAAAATACTCGATAACTTTTTCATTTTTCAAGATATGTGGGAAATTTCACGTTAAAGAAAAATTTGACCAAAACTGGTCTAACTTTGTCTTTTTTAGCCAGTTATATGGCATGGCAATATTACCCCAATCCTGGGGTAACATTGCCAACTTTTAGATAAAAAAAAAATACATATAATCCATTATTATAGAGCCTTGAAAAAATAACTGATTATAGAAAACATTTAACATATATTATACATCAGACATTACAACTGAAGTATCTTATGTTATCAATGAAAAACTCCCAAAAGCTGACAAAGTCATCTCAGTTTACGGTTCTGGTTGAGTTGCATCGGTGACTTGTACAAATTCGGAACATATTTTTTTGGATTTCTCATACCAAATTCTATACATATTAAGGTCTGGACACACATGACCGCACCGTATCCGTACCGAGTCCGTGTAGTAACACGGCAGTGTGTCACTCAATAAGGTAGAAACCACACATTTCCAACACACGGCCGCATGACGGTCGTACTACAAGTGCAGTCGGTAGTTTGTCACTTGGAAGCGTGTGTGAAAAAAGATAAAATGTTCGCCAGCTTCACCAACAGCGAATTGGAAGCGTTGGACGATGCAGAAAATTAGAGAAATAGGCCAAAACGACGAAAAATTTGGGCTAGTTTCTCTTTTTGTACTGAAAAATACTGAAAGTCCGTCATGCAACATGCAACGCACCGTGCCCGTGAAAAATTAAACCAAAACTTATCTCGCACGGTACGGACGCGGTGCGGTGGCGCCACTCGGGCACGGTGCGTATAGTCTGCGTCAACAGTAAAGAGTACGAGAGTGACGACCAGGGTTGCCAGATCTATGAAATGAAAAAGCGGGACTGATGTTATCTAGAGGAAAAATTTGTTTTTGGGTGCCACGCCCAAAAGCATAAGAGGGGGGGGGTAAAACTGCGTGGATGCCACATTGAAAAAAATTGAATAGATTTCATTCCGTTTTAATATATAATTGATTAAAATCATCTGAAATTCTGAAAAAATAAATGTGGATTATCATTTTGATGTTATAAAATTGGTTTACATCCGAAGGCGCAGTCATGACCCAGAGGCAGAATAGAAATAACGGAAATATGTATACGTTAGGCCTATTCGGGTTTGGAAAAAGGACGGTTCTAGAACGGTTCAAAACAATCGTCCAGTTTATTGATCAACAAAATAACAACGACTCGACTATCACAAATTTCAATAATAAACTGTGCGATTCTTTTGGACCGTTCTAGAACCGTACTTTTCCCAAACCCGAATAGGCCTGTTATGCGATGCAAAATCTCTGATTTTGAAGGTCGTGGTAATCGTTATAGCCGATAAAGGTAACCATAACTGATCCAAAAATTGCTGTTATTTTAAGGGGTGCAAAAATTCTCTAATGTTATGGTTTTTGCTCTTAAACTAATGTTATAGTTCTTTTCACGTGGCTCCGGTTTAACTAACCGGGTTACAAAACGGTTAGAGAAATGACATATCGTTTTCTTATCCGGTTACAAAGTGACGTGATGGATACCTACCACTCAAATTTGAACGGTATGTTGCGGTTTGTTAAACCGGGGCCACGTGAAAAGGGTTAATGTTTTTCACAAGGGTTCCTTCTTCGTTTAATAGATGGCGCTTGTCATTGTATGTTATAATTAAAGTGTGTTTTTTTTTTAAAGATAAAAGTCAAAATGACATTATGTTGGCAATACAATGTAAAATTGTCAATGCTTTCAAATTTTTATTTAGAAACGGCTTGTGTTGCCAACATATAGTTACTAAATTTTTGACTTGGGGAATTATCTTTAAAGAAAAAACAGACTTTAGATTTGAAAGAATGTTTTTAACACGTAAAATCCTTAATCATTCACTTTTGTCGCTAGATATTTTATCACTTGTGACGAAAGCGACGTTTTCGGCTAAGGTGAAATATGACGAAAGTTTATTTTTCAATGGCCAGGAAAAAAGTTTTTTGCAGATGCTAGTTTATGCAATGAAAGATTTGGATTTTGTTGGAATTTTTGACATTTTTATACCTACAACATGCAATATTTATTATTAAAACCCAAGAATCGTAAATTAACAGGATTCCTCATCTTGAGAACACGTACATTCGGCGGTTCTCCAGTCCACAAGGTCTGCGAGTGACGTCACCACATCAGCAGCTAATAGTGGTGACGTCACCCGCAGACCTCGATGAAATGCTTGCGATTCAGGCTCGTCATTAGATTTTTGCGTCAATTTTAAATGAAGAAATAGCTATTTATGTAACAAGTTGTGAAATGAGCGTGTTTTTTGCAATAAATGTGAAGATTGGGTGGAAAAAGCGGGAAAATCGGGACAATTCGCGTGAAAAGCGGGACCTGAAATTAATAAAAAAAAAGGCGGGACTGATTACCAAAATGCGAGACTGTCCCTCCTAAGGTGGGACGTCTGGCATCCCTGGTGACGACACGGAAAGCTGCGCGAAGCGGGTCCGATCTCTCTCCCTCGTCTATCTCTCGTTGTCTGTCGTGACCTCGGCTGTGAGCTTTAAGCAGCGGGGTATCTTTTTAGACAAAACTTGGATAGAAAATAAACTAAATAAATATGCCTGCTGGCCGTACGACAATGAACCACGTGTTTGGCGTTCGGCAGCAGCACCGAACAATATGATAGTTCGGTTAGTCTTCAAAATTGGGTTTGTGCGCATTTGACGTCACCGTACTCTTTATTCTTGACGCGAACTCTACCAAAAACGAGGCCGTTAAGCAATCCTTATTATAGGTTTTTAATGTTATATTTAGGATGACGTCTTCGAACAAGGACAATGTTGTCAATGATTATTTTTTTTCTTATAATTTACCAGAATGTCATGTGTCAATAATTCTGACGACATAGCTTAAAATAACGAAATGAAAATGTTTATACAAGTCATGCAACGTCGCGCGCCGTTACCAATCGAAAATATCTGAAATTTTCCTACTTTTAGTTTTGTTAGGTTGGCAGCAGAAATTTACTAAAAGTGACGTCATACTAAATATAGCGTAAAAATCCTATAGTGTGAGTCATTTATTAGTGGTAGTGTGTATTATCCTTGGGAACAGGGAACCGTGAAATGTGGCATTTAATTCTACACCATTTCCAAATACAAGTGGCATCAAATGACATTAAATAACCTAAATTATAAACCAACACGAGCCTTCCTATTGGTTGAAACGGCCTACCTGGACTAGTACGCATGCACAAAGGACATTTGATAGGTTATAATGAAAATGACCAGTAATGTCATTACTGCCGCTTGGATTTGGTTAAACCATAGGTTGCCTTATTTTACTCCGTGCACGTTGAACATGAACTAAACAATTTGGTACAAACTACTACAAACTGCACTTCACAAACGAAACGAACGCTCGTCAGTGCATTGCCATAACACAAACGAACGTCCCTAAACTGGAAGTGTTGCTCCGAACAACATAAACAAACAAACATGAAACATTTAGGCCCGGTTGTACAATCCAGGTTCAAACAGAGGTTCAGTTGAACTCTACTGGTACTTGAACCTTCCCATTTGAAATGCATTGCTGTCAGAAACATACCAAAGTGTACATTTTTTGACAGCAATGCATTTCAAATGAGAAGGTTCAAGTACCAGTAGAGTATAGAGTTACACTAAACCTCTGTTTGAGCCTGGATTGTACAACTGGGCCTTAAATAAAACCTGAATATCCTAAAGCTTTTGACGAAACAGTACAACTTTACCTGGGAATAAAACGGCAATCCGACAACGCCGGGAACGGCAACGTTTAACCGATTTATGAGTTAAGTTTGTGACATCAACCAATCAAAATTGTTTCTGAAAATTTGAAAATGTTGATGATTTTCTCAGAAAATAATCATTTACTGAGCTTCATAATACGTTGTGTTCATACTTGACAAGGGCCTTTTAAAAATTGAATACGCTTTCTCACAAAAATATTAATGAAATGCAGGATTCTTGAATGGAAACTTAACTTGTCAGTCAAGTCAATCATAACATAACCTCATAATAATCATAAACGTCAAACAAAAGTTGTATTTTTCAACATTTCAATAATTTATTAATCAATGAATTTTGACTATTAATAATCCTCATTAGGCTATTTAAAACAACATTTGATTTTAATCAGCAAGTCAATCAAAAAATTCTAATTTTCCTAATAATTAATTACGTAAACCGTGTTTTAAAAAATGTAAACATAACATAATCAAATGGAGGGGTGTGAGGTGTGAGGGTGATTCTATTATACAAAACCAGATGTAAATTTTTCAATAAAATTTGTTTAAAAAATGGCAAAAAGTTTAAGAAATTGCCGGCTGTGCCTTGCAAAAATCCAGGACACCAACTTTACCTATCTGGATGGTATTATCAAAGACATGCTGGAGATTATTTTACCTGAATTGGTAAGATCCTTATTACTATTTAACTTGATGTTGCCATGTATTTCTTTTAGAATTTTACAATATGTGATTCATCATCGATATGTAATAATTGCTTGGAAACATTAAAGCAATCTTATAATTTTAAATCGACTTGTTTGGAAGTGGAAGACAGGGTGCAGGATTTTGTAGATCCAAAAAAGTTGAATTGTGTAGATCTGAAAGAGGTAAAGATGGGTTTTCAATACTAACAATTTTATAATAGTTTGTATCAATAGGAATTGCTTTGTAGATTTTTAGTTGTATAGAGATTAACTTTTCAAATAAAAGAGATTTTTTTTAAGGTAATCAAGAAATCAAAGGATATCAAACCCATTTCCTTAGCTACAATGATTGTATGTAGGATATGCTTAAGTTTAGGAGAAGAATCGAGTAATACCAAGTTGTGCAGCTATGAGGGGGATCCTTTACAGAACATGGTTGAAAAATGCCTTCCAGAAATGGTATAAATTTTATTTAGAGTTTATTTAAATAGTATGTATATTATAAGGGAATATGTTATTTCTCTTATATAAGATCAAGACAGTATGAAAAATTTAAAGAAGTACCTGAATCAAGAAGAGTAAAGGCTCATGTCCACTTGCAAGTAACTTGCGATAGTTTTTTCAGCAAGTACTTGCTGATGTGTCTACACTGTATTGTAATTGTTTCCAATTTTTCTTCTGGCAAGCTACTATAGCAAGCCCGTTTGCCTAGTTCTTCACTGACACAATGTCAATGTTTGTTCAGAGCATAGGCCCATAAACACATTACCAGTTTATGAAAAGGTTTTGGAATTGCTGGTGAAGGATCAGCTGCTTCATTATTTGGATAGAAATAATATTTTGGTAGAGCAACAATCAGGATACAGACAAAAACATTCATGCGAAACGGCTTTGCAGTTTTTGATATCAGGTTGGAAATCTCAAATACAGAAGAAAAAAGTCATTGGTGTAGTATTTTTGGATCTCAGTAGAGCTTTTGAGACAGTAAACATTGATCTTTTGTTACTAAAACTGGCAAAGTATGGTATTCGAGGCATAGTACTGAAATGGTTCAAAGGATACTTAAGTGAGTGATTTCAGAAGGTTAAATTTAAAAATGCCAATTCCAATAGCATAGGCATAGATCAAGAGGTTCCTCAGGGCTCAGTATTGGGACCTATTCTTTTCCTGTTGTTCATCAATGATATAGTTCTTCATGTCAAACATTGTCAAATAAAATTATTCGCAGATGACACTTTGCTTTATTTTGTCTGTGATATTGATGAAATAACATTAATGGAAAAACTGTTAAACAAAGATCTTGAAAATATTGATGTGTGGCTCATAAAAAATGGTTTAAAACTAAATGTTGCAAAGACGAAATTCATAATTCTTGGTTCTAAACATTGCCTTAATCAAGTTCAAAGACAAAGTACTAATGCAGCAGTAAAAATAATTATGAATAACGATATCTTAGAACAGGTTAAATCTTTCAAATATTTGGGTGTAATGCTGGATCCTGAACTTAATCTATCCTTGCACTGTGACTACATAAAAAAGAAAATAGCAAAAAAAGCAGGTTTTCTTTACAGATTGAATAACAAGATTTCACTTTTCGCTAAACTCACAATTTTTAAGTCAATAATTGCTCCCCATTTTGAATATTGCGGTACATTGTATCATTATCTAAGTTTGACTCAAAGAGACATGCTACAAAAACTGCAAAATCGTTGCATGAGAGCAATATTACTTTGTAACAAAAGAACACCAATAAAATCCATGCTGGAGAAATTAGACCTTATGAATGTACAACAAAGATCTACTTACATAATGCTAACTTTTGTTTTCAAACTAAAACATAATATGTTACCATCATATTTATCTGATGAAGTTACTTATGTGCGAGACGTTCATTCATACCAAACAAACGCGATCCAGTGTGGTAAATAATTTTTACATTAGTGATTTTCAGAGTGACACTTTGTTTAGTGTAGGCTTAAGAATGTTTAACAGTATACCCGCAGAATTGAAGCAATGTGACTCCTACTCTAGATTTAAGACTGAATGTAAAAAATATGTAAGAACTTTATAGACTTTGTTGAATACTTTTCCAGACATTCCATGTTGGGTATATACCTACTGGTTTAAAATATTTCATAAAATCATTTTGTAAGAGCTTTTTATTGCTAATAAAGTGTTTGATATGTCACCCCAGCAAATTGCTGCTGCAGTTGTGATATATATCGAATTGAAAAATCAAATTAAAAAAAAGGAAAATGTAAAAAAGCGAAGGAAAATGTGGGTAAGAAACTGGATTCAGCGTAGATCTTCTTTAGACATTCACGAGAAGTTACTCGCTGAGTTGAGAAGTGAAGATCCACTGCAGTTGAAATTTTTTTTACAGATGTCGGCAGAAGACTTCGATTATTTGCTCAATTTTCCTCCACTCTTGATTCATTTGCGTTCTTAAATTGTGTAACTTACGTTGAATCTCATTTTCAAATGTCTCGAATAGACCTGCTAATTTTTCTAGAGCGGCTTGCTTCTTCATCCTATTCTCAAAATCTTTACAATGTACATCTCATAATTCAGGATACAGTTCAAATTTTTCTATCAACTTGGTAGTTTCTTCCCTATCCCAAACACGTTTCTCCATTTTTGTAAATAGGTATTTAAAAACCTCCACTTGAAAACACGTCCTTTTAAAACTTGCTGCAAATATTTCGGAACGGTCTCGAAATCAAACCGTGCAAACTAATACTACACGTAACACTACAAGCTCTAACAAGTCAGTAAGTATTTGGCAGGCAAGTAAACTTGCAGCAAGATATCTCTACGCTACTGTTTACACACAATGCAAGTGACTTGTGAGAGTACTCTTAGCAAATTTACTTGCAAATGGACACGAGGCTTAATGCAACATCAAAAAATATCATGCTGATCATTCATTAATACAAAGTTCTAATGGAAAGCAAAAGTAAGAAACAAAAAGATAGGATTATAGATGGCAAGTGAAATGAGAAAATAACTGTTGGTCTAAGATTTCTGCAAAAAGCTGTATTTTCATTTAGTTTTTAAATTAAATTTTCCACTTTATTTCTCAAAATTTTTGCCCATTGCCATTTCCTTCCTTTTTTAATTTTATGTCTATTCCAGGCTCTTGAATTTTCTTTATGTTTGAATATTTGACTTCACAACTTTGTTAATTTCAATCCAATCTTAATGTAATTAGGCTGCAATTGAAGCCAATTGAATTCTCTACAAATCTCCTCTGAATGATTTCAATGTAGCTTCAATGGTTTTACAGCTACAAAACAAAAAAGTCTTTAAGTATAATTTTTTCGGGATGAGAAAGCAGATGTAAATTTCATTTTTTTTTCCTTAAATTTCGATCATTCTTTTATCCATAAAATAATAATCCTGCATTGGTTCAGATCGTATTTGTCGAGAAGAACCCAAAGGGTGTTTTTTGACGGTAAGTTGTCTGGTCAGATGATGGTGACACAGTCATGAGGTATCTACCTCAAGGTCTCTATTGGGCTCAATATTATTTTTGATGTTGATGACATCAAAAATTTAGGTATTGAGGGTAAATCTACACTTTTTGCAGACGATGCCACCATTTTGTGGAATACCATAAAAATGCCTCAAACCCTGAGAGATTAGTGAATAGGGATATATTATCCATTCACAATTCAATGTCCACAGGTACAGTTAAAATTTATCACCTTTCCCTATTTGATAGGATAAGCCAATGGATATGCTGATAAATTTACCTATACCTGTGGACATCGGATTATGAATAGGATATAAAATGGTGCAACTGTAATCTTCTAACTTTAAATATTAATAAGACCTGTGTAATGAATTTCAAATGTGATATTGGGGTAACACTGGGTAATAGTGTGCTGGCCAACTTTGAAGAAACTAGATTTTTGGGTTTTTACTTGGACAACAAGCTTAAATTTGTGGAGTACATAGCAACTTGGAAAATATTAATCTAATCTCTCGAACATTTTCCTCAAAAAATACACACAACCTCTTTCATTGCAATTTTTTGGAAATTTCAATGACATCAACACACATTTTGCGTCACAACTTTGTAAATTTTATTCTGATCTGAACGTAATTGAGCTTCAGCCAATTAAATTCTCTACAAATCTTCTGTGAATGATTTCAATGTAGCTTCAATAGTCTTGCAGCTGCAAAGCTTCAAAGTCTTTTGAGTATGATTTTTCCCAAAATGACACCAACATACATTTTGCCGTTGCAAAGATTTTACATCTTTACTTTTTAAAGACATGATAACTCAAGCCCTCTATTATAAAACTATGAAAAATCAAGTCAGGAGATCATGGAAATCTTGGAGATTTTAAAGAGTTGAGACTCCATACTATAAAACTATGAAAATTCAAGTCGGAAGATATTGAAGCAACTCATTGATGAAAACACTGCTGCAACACTCTAATCAGTATTCAAAACTCAAGATTCTGAGGTCTTTTGAGTCAAAAATTCTTGGTTCAAGAGTCAATGCTGAGACTCAAGAAAGAGAATATTTCTGATTTTATATCTTTACTTTTTAAAGATTCTATGACTCAAGACTACTGAAAAATTATGGAAAATCAAGTCAGGAGATCGTGGAAATCTTGGAGATTTTAATTTTAAAGACTTGAGACTCCATACTATAGAACTATGAAAATTCAAGTCAAAAGATATTGAAGTGACTCATTGATGAAGACACTGCTGCAACACTCTAATCAGCATTCAAAACTCAAGATTCTGAAGTCTTTTGAGTCAAAAATTCTTGGTTCAAGAGTCAATGCTGAGACTCAAGAAAAAGAACATTCCTAATTTTACATCTCAACTTTTCAAAGACTCGAGACTGTACTGTAAAACTATGAAAATTCAAGTCAGGAGATTATGAGAATCTTAAAGACTTTTTTCTAATTTAATCGACGTTGTGTCTCTTACTGTTTCTGAGATTCCCATACTGGCTTTCCCTCTTAATCTTGGACATCCAAAGAATTTTATTTAAAGTTTTATCCGATCTTAACGTTATTAGGCTTAAATTGAAGCTAATTAAATTCTCTACGAATCTTCTGTGAATGGTTTTAATGCAGCTTCGATAGTTTTGCAGCTGCAAAGTCTTTTGACTATGATTTTTCCCAAAATGATGCATTTTGCCTCATAACTTTGTTAATTTCAATCCGATCTTAACGTAATTAACCTTCAATTAAAGCCAATTAAATTCTCTACAAATCTCCTGTGTATGATTTCAATCCAGCTTCAAAGTCTTTGGACTTAGATTTCCATAAAAGTGAAAGAGCAAAAGGAAATTCTACTTTACAACTTCGTCAATTTCAATCCAATCTTAACATAATTAAACTTCAATTGAATTTATGACAATAATTATTTTTAGGATTTGACTATTAGTGTTGACCCGAGCATATGTCAAACATGCCTGGAACAGCTCGAAGAACATTTCCACTTCATAATGCAGTGCCTCGACACGGAAGCGAAAATCAGTTTTTATTCTGTAAAAGAGGCAATTTTCCACAATGTCGATCTGAGTAAAATCACACCCTTTTACGCTAGCATGGAAAAAATCCAATTGGAAGAATCGTCTGTAGTAGAGAAACCGGCAACAAACGGATTAGTGAAAAAGAAGCAAGAAGATATTAAAGATATAGTGGACCATCATTTATTTAATAATGGGGTAAAAGAGGAAGTGAGTTTTACGGTGAAAAAAGACGAAAACGGTGAAGATGTGATTATGTCAAGGACCACTGTGCTTGAAGAAGACAGCGACAGCGATGTTTCTGTGGCTTGTGATGATGACTTGTTAATTTTGAAAACCGAGGCTCGAAGGCGGCGACAATCCATTGAAGCTAAATCGGCCAAGAAAAAAGAGACAGGGTGTACTTATAAGGAAGATCCTGGAGAAGATAGTGATGTAGAGTAAGTAACAATTATTTCAATGACAATCTTGCCAAAAAGTATTATTGTGTTATTTCAGTTGGGAGAAAAAACGAGGTCGTTTGCGTAGATGCAAAATATGCAAATTCAAAACCAAATTCGCGAGCCGTATAAAAGCGCACATGACCAGAAACCACAAGGTCAAAAGCGACATTGAACCCACGCCCCCTACCGGCCCTACCAAGGAGGAAATCAAAACGTTCAAGTGCCGTTTGTGCACCTTCCAAACCTTAGACCAAACCGAGCACAACAATCATAAAAAGGTGCATCAGAAGGAACGCGAAAAACAATGTCCACATTGTACCATGACATTTGTCAGGCCTGATTTCATGAGAAAACATTTGGATGCTTGTTATATTAAAAAGTTTGGTCCCAAAAGATCGTTGCCAGTTGTTGTTGAAAATAGGCCTCAAACACCCAAAAGAAAGTTGTTAAAAAAAGAGTTTGTGTCCCCCAATGTTACCATGTCCAAACCCAACAGGCGTAACACTATAAGCATCAACGGCAAAATGCTAAAGATGTTCAAATGTCAATTATGTCCCTATCAAACAAGGCTGAAAAGCAACCGCGAGCGGCACGCTTTGACGCACAAGAAAAGCACCGAAATGAAGGTGCATAAGTGTAAAATTTGTCAATTCGAGACGATCCAAAAGGAAAACTATTTGGCTCACATGCAAGGCCACGAGATTGACTCTGAAAAGGTGATGAGGTGTTTTTTGTGCTCTTACCAGCCCACATCTAAGGAGTCTTTGAGCTTACATGTTGCCAAAGTGCACAAGAGCACCGGCTGACAGAACATTATTGTGTAAATATTTTAATCGACTGATTTTGTTTTGTTACTAATTTTTAGATTTAGTGAGTGTTTCTTCAACAGGCCCTTTGTTGGAGCTGAATTAATGTTTACATGTACATTTATTGTATAAATTTTATAAAAGATGTATTGTATTATAATAATAATTGTAATTTAGAGACAAATAAAATACATATTATAAGCTCTGTTCCAATAGACATGAGAACCGTTCTAGAACTGTAATTTCCAGTTGCCCACCTATTTTTCAATAAGACAAATGAATTGTTCGACTGGAAATTACACAGTTCTCATGTTGGTTGGAACAAAGTTATTGTATTTTTCCAGATTTTAATCTGTTAAGTTGTACAACATGTCTTTCACTTCTACATAATGATATTTTGTATTATTTTTTTTTCTTAGCTCTATGAATGACGGTTATTTAGGGTTGCCTCAAGTGTTGGATATCCGCCTAGGCAACCGTGATAACTGTCTATTTCATTGTATTTTTTTAGCAGCGACAACATTATTATTGCTGCTGAAAATCTGTTGGAAATGTTAATTTTAATACCTACACAATAAACGATTTATGTTAAATTTTATTTTCATTTGAAGTATATGGTTAGTTAGTAGTTTATAGAGGATGGATAGCAGACTGAAATTCTCTAGATTTGTGCAGTCGCCTTTTTTGACTAATAGAATAACTTCTCCGTTCTTCCAAGAGGATTTTCTCTTCTTCGAGACATTTATTTAGTAGGGTCAGGAGTGCTTTCCTGAGTGTCTCTCCTCCGGCCTTCAACATCTCACTGGTGATTTGGTCTTCTCACGGGGCTTTGCAGTTCTTCAGCGCTGCTTCTAGTTCTTCATCAATGGGCTCTAGTTTTTCTGATCCTATGTTTAGGAATGGCTGATGAATTTGACCTTCTTGACCTGGATATGTCACCGATGGGCTGTAGAGTCGTCGATGAAAATTCTCAATAATTTCTTCGATCTTCTCTATTTCATTCACAACGACTCCCTGATCGTTTTTCATCTTGTGGATAATCATTTTGCCTTTAGATCTCTTAGAACTCTCATGTTTGCGTTGTTCTGTATGGCTTCCTCGACCATTCTCGTATTATAAGCATCTCTAATCTTTTCTGATGGCCTTTTTCACGATCTTATTTAGGTACCCATACCTTGATGAGTTTTTGTCAGTGTTTCTCTGTTCTTCAATAAGTTGTTCTGTTTCTAAACTGAATTTCGGATGTTTCTTACTTTAGATAGAACCAATGACATTTGAAAGAACAGACTTTTCGCACAGCATTTCTAAAACTAGAGATGATAATCTTCGTTGAGAGTGCGTTTAGTTCCATGTTTCACATATCTTCAATTGGGTGTAGCTTCTTGTCAATTTGCCTGTTGAATTCTTCCTCCTTCTCTCACATTTTACCTGTGGTTGGCCGTATCTTTCTTTCCACTAAAGCTTTTCTCTGGTATCGAGTATTGACGTGGATCCTGGCTCTGACCAAGCTGTGGTCGATGTCTATGGCAAAAAGGTTTAGACTGGCACGTCCGAGCATAATTGGGGGTTTGATAATATCTCATTTTTGACCCTGTTCTGTTATCAGGTCTTAAAATATATTTTTTTTTTAGATTCAAAGAAAATCCCGCCTGTTGTAATACCCCAAAAACCATAGTTCTAATGAACGTAAAGCATCTTCAATCGTTTCAGAAGGTATCAGTATATTATCCAAATAAACTAACGCTACGGTGTCCTGACCTCCTAATGCCTTATTTATAGCCCGCAGGAGCGTTAGCTAGACCGAATGGCATTCGCAAGTATTGGTAGTGCCTGTCTGGCGTGATGAAAGCAGACTTTCCTACCGAGTCTAAGGCAATCGGAATCTGATGGAAATCTGACGAGGTAAATATGCGGCCTTATTTTCCTCGCCCTCTGAGCATGACTAGTCCCGCCGTCTGGCGGATACGAATAAAGATAGCGGGAGGTAAAGTTGTCATTTTTGAATTTAAATAAATGTGAAAGTACAACAGTGGCGAGCGTTTTTTGCAAAAAATAAACGTGATAAAGAGCTTATTTTTGTGTTGTCAAAAATTTCGGTAAGTGCATTTTGTCAAATTTTCGTAATTTCGTTATAAATGTTTGCAGCAATCCACTTTTTTCTCTGGACTAATCGCCACTGGCTTCGCGGAAATTTATAAAATTTATATTTGCTATTTGCGCTTGTGTTTCTGCAATCAACCACGCAACAATAATTACGGCCCATTTTATTTTGTTCAAAATGATCGTATGCTTGCAATTTACCTCATTACCTCCCAAGTTTCACTATTTTTCCGCCTCGTGCGCTGACAGTCATTTTAAAATCCCCTCCCCTCGGACGCTCAGAGCGAAGTGGTAAAGAAAAACGATCTTTCACAGTATAAGCATTAAGTTCTCGATAATCAACTCACATTCTGTAATCTCCTTCTTTCTTTCGCACCAACATGATCAGACTAGCAAATGACGACTCACTTTCCCTAATAATTTTATTGGTGATTTTATATTTTTTTTCCTTTATTTCAACATGGTAGTTAAACAATAGATGTATGTACCTAAACAAGAGAATCTGAGCTGGAAAGCTATGCAGATCATTCAGTATCACATATAACATGCCGTATTATTATACATTATACAATATCATACAAGAGAAAATATCCAGTACAAGTAGGTACTGTATCACAAAGTTGTTGCATTTATGAATATATTAGTTCGAAATTGCAGATAAAGTATTTCATTGTACAGTCCCAAAGTATCTATCGAAGATCAGCTGGTCCTTGTCAAAATAGGCGATGAAAGTATCATCTCCACATAAATTGAGAGATATGTATGACAGTGAGTTCATGTAGACTAGGAAGAGTGTCGGTCCCAGAATTGAACCTTGGGGCACTCCGTGTACAATGTTTTCCATTTTACTTTTGTTACCTTCACATTCAACATATTGTAGTAGTCTGCTCGACATATAGTCCATAAACCACAGTACCTCCAATACCAGTTTTTTCAGGAGAATTTTGTGATTTACTCTGTCAAAAGGTTTTCTTAAGTCCAGCGAGACAAGTACACACTTATATCTCTTATCAACCTTTTCATAAATATTTGTAATTAGGTCTGTAGTTGCTGAGGAGGTATTGCTGTGTTTTCTGAATTCATATTGACCCGCATACCAAAAATTTATTCCATCCAAATAACTGGTTAATCTCATATTTACACAGGTTTCCAATGCTTTAGACAGCTGGGAGCAGGGAAATGGGCCTATAGTTGTTTAGTTCTGTCTTCTCTGTACTATCACCACCCTTAAATAAAGGGACAACCTTGGCCATTTTAAACAAACTTGGTACAGATGCAGTATTAAAAACAAGATTTATCAACTTACACAAAGTAGGCGATATTTCATTTTTCAATTCCTTGATTGTATCATTGTATCAATGCCCAAGCTGTCAGTTCCAGGTGATTTTCCTGGTTTTAATTTGTTTATAACTGCAGTGACCTCCTCTGTAGTCATAGGTTCCCATTGATTTATATAGGCGGTAAACGTTGGTTGCAGTTGAGGCGAGGGGAAAAAATTGTTGCGGGAATGTTTTTTGCTAGTTCTGCAGCAATTCCGGAAAAGTATTGGTTTAGCAAATTGGCAACATCCTGTGGGTTCTGCACAGTGTGTCATTCATGTACTAACTTGAGTAACAAGCGGTTTTTCCTGGGTTTGGAGTTGTTGATTATAGTGTTTAGTGTTCTCCATATCTCTTTAATAACATCATTCCCTGCTCTATTTATTTCGGTATTTCATCTACAGTTTCATGTACAACCTTTCTTTCACTAGCAGTCAGAAGATACGGGGTTCTATTTACCACGAAGTCGTCACGCAGCTTGATCTGCAAGGCTGCATTATTAACTTTAGGTAAAAAACTATTTTTTGGAAGTAATTTTGGAAAATGCGACAATAACCTAGTAAGCTTAAGCTTATATTCTTCAGGAAGATCTATTATCATTTCTTCAACATCACTTGGAATAATTCTTATCGAACAACTTTGGTCCCTTTATGATCAGTGGTACCTAATTTCTTTATCATGATAACTTTCGGCCATTTATAACATCATGTTCTAAAACATCATTTGGTACCACATGGAATAACAAATTCGTCGTTACATTACAAATTTTTATAGTAGCCATAAACTCTTTTTCAACAATAAAACTTCTGTTTAGGATACCTGATAAAACCATCTTACAATAAGGAAGTGCCTTGTGTCCAAATATCTTTGGATGACGCTCAACTATATATGAGCGAAACATCAGCTCCTGGTATCAATTATACCCTGGAATATTATCAATTTTGACTTCTTTTCCAGTACTACAAAAATTTACATTTCTCCGTAATTCAATATTTTGCAAAGTGAAACAATTATCAACAGTGCTTCCACTTTTAGCACAGAACGAGCAGACGGTACTTTTTTCACTCGGTGAAGCAATATTCGTCAATGATTGAGAAATTTTATTATTACCACAACCATAACATTTTAGAACTCGACGGGAATCGTAAACTTCACGAAAACGTTTCCTTGAGGGTTATTTACATATTATACATATTTGAATTCGTACTTTTCAATAACTCTCTTGAAGTTTTCTTCAGTTTCCTATTTCCATTTCTCAATTATTATTATAGTTTCTAGTCATTTGTTCTCGTCAATGTTTGTCTATTCCCGGCTCTTCAATTTAGGTTTTCTTTTCAAATTTCTCTAAATGAGTTGCACTCAAGAGCCTGCAATAGAGAACATATATGTAAATTTGTACTCTTCAGCAACTCTCCTCAAGTTTTCCTTAACTAATCTAAGTATCTTAAGTACCTAATCTAAGTTTTGTCGAACAACCTTTAAAAATTGGAGGACCATTATCTTGATAAGTTCCGAATTTGCATCCAGCTCGGACTTCTGTGACTGCGATAAATTTGACTTGTTATATTGTCTGAAAAACTATTTGAATTCATTCTACTTTTCGCAAGGTCCCTGAAGACATATATTCTCTGTATCTATCGTTCCCCTGGCACTTGCGTTTCGGACATTGTGGATGTAGGTATTTGAAATACTTCTCTCGAACATACCACCAAATTCCAGACTGATAGTTGCGGGAGAACTTAATATAGATTTTGGAGATCCCGAGAGGTATTCGAGCGTTCTTCTGCTCAATCTACTTTAGTCTTTCAATCTTCAAATGCATGTTAAGGAACCCACGCGTAGTGCTATTAGTATATAGCTTCATTACCCCTGAAAGTCAAGCCTATTCAGAATCGTAAAAAGCAAGGCCAAATATTTGGTAGGGAAAATTTCTCTCATTTTAAGTAAACCTGTAACGACATCCATCCTTTCTAGGGCAAATGCTCTTCAAGAATTCCATCTTACTCCGAGTAATGTCATAGATAAATCTCTTGCCCTAAGGCCCCTTCGTAAACAGGGTAACCGAAAATATTGGATGACAAAGGGCTTAAGGATTTCTGCAGCTAATCTAAGATCTTTAAATCTCATATAAGAAAACACTTTGTTGATAGTCCTTTTATCTTGAACTATTATCTCAAACTGCTAAACACTTATTCTACTCTAATCGTTTAAGCAATACTGCTAATAAATCTAGGAGAACCTGGAACATCGTGAGAGAGGTTACAGGTAAAAAAAGCCTTAGACCTCAAGAAATTAACATTGATCTTGAAGACTTAAACAGCTTTTACTGTACTGTCGCTGATAACCTTACTGCAGCCGTCAACTCGAATGTTGATCCATTGAGACTTGCATGTCAACGAGTCTTTTTCATTTTTTCCCACCGATGTCCATGAAGTAGGATCTGTTTAAATCTATAAGAAAACAGTCCACAGCCGGTTCAGATGGTATATCTATAAAAACCTTGAGGGAACTTCCGGAACAGGCCCTTGGTATTCTATCGGAAGTAATCAGCCTGTCCTTTTCATCGGGTATTTTTCCACCTAGTTTCAAGGACGCATTGGTAGTACCGATACATAAGGGCGGGGATTCAAAAGAGCCATCAAATTATCGCCCAATATCATTTGTTATCAACAATATCCAAAGTTGTTGAGAAGCTTCTCAAAAAACGTATGATGGACTTCCTATCAAAACATAAAATTCTTAACTCCGCCCAATTTGGATTCCTTCCTAAGAAGGGTACTCATGATGCCATGTTTCACGTTCTGGAACAACTCCTGAAGCACTACAACAATGGCTTTGCTACCGCGGGGGTGTTCTGTGATTTTTCAAAGGCCTTTGACTGTGTGAGTCACAGAACTTTTCTGAGGAAGTTAGAGGTCGACGGCTTTAGGGGTGTCATCTCGAAATGGTTCGAATCATATTTTTCACATCGCAGTCAGCGTATCACTCTGGATGGAAAATGTTCTTCTGATCAGCCAATGGTCCGTGGGGTTCCACAGGGATCAGTCTTGGAACCAATATTATTCCTCATCTATATCAATGATCTTCTCTACCTTGATATATCGGGAGTCTTCACTGCGTTCGCGGATGATTCAACGGTTGTGTGGCACGGGGGAAGTTCTGGTGAGCTGGTTCAGGTGATTTCTGGAGATATCAGGGCCATTAAGTGTTGGTGTGATGCAAATGGAATGCTTTTTAACTTTGGTAAAGTGCCTGATGGGTTCCAATGTAATTGATTGTGACGAATTCTCCATTAAATCCTCTCTAAATACTAAATTTCCTCGACTTCAACTTGACGTTGATCTTAAATTCCAATCGCATGTCACTGCACTTGGCGGGAAACTTGCCTCTGGTTGCTACTGGGTCCGAGGTGTGGCCACAAGTTTGGACGCAACCATAGCAAAATCAGTGTATTTTGCATTAATACAATCCAACTTTTCCTATGGACTACCTTTTTGGGGCTGTTGTAGCCAATACCTTTTTCAATCAGTGTTTAAATTCCAGAAGCGAGCAGTTCGCTTTATCGCTGGTGCCTTTTCGGTGGAACACTGCAAACCCTTATTTCAAAAATGTAACATTTTAACATTGCCATATGTCTTTTTATACTTGAATCGGTAAATCTCTTAAATAAACACACATCTTTGTTCCCTGTACACCAAACTGCCTTTTCCACAGGACAGACGCACAATATACTGCACTCCTACTCTTGTGAAGAACTCAATAATTTACAACAGCGTGAAATTCTATAACCACCTTCCTGCAACTATCAGAAACATCTCAGATATTTCACGGTTTCGAAGCCATTTGAAGAGCACTCTACTTCAACATGCCTCTTATACAGTTGATGAGTTTCTAAATGTCTCTATATAGCCACAAAGCCTTCTTGCTTCTGTTGCATGCATGTTATATTTTGACCGAGATTTTGACTTAACTGTCGTTGTATTTATCAGTCTCAAATTTGCCTGTCATTTGTTTGTTGCTTATCTTTTTTTGTACCATTTACTAACTTATTTATTTTTTATGCACAATGTTAATGTTGTTTACTGACTGGATTTTAATCTTAATCTTAATATTAGTACTTACTCAAGAGCAAATTAACTTTAATTATACATCATTGAAAAGAGAATTAGCTTCTCTATGAAGCCGTGTAATGTGTAATATTGGTTTTTGTAGTTTATACAGTTCCCAAGATATCAAATTTGAAATTTGGTCCACATTTTCTCCAAAACTTCAAATTCGATTTTATCAAAAACCATAAATGCTAGCGATTTCAACAAAATACCATTTTAAAGCGCTTATTAAGAGCTACAGTTCATGGAAATTTAGTCCCGGTACTGCGTTTTGTTGCTTCAAATTTTACCAAATTTCATCCTACTACCGCTTTTGGTTACCGATATATGTAAAAAGCACTTTAATAATTGAAAAATAAGCAGTGACTTACCATTTCATTTGGAACCTAATCACACAAAGGTTCGATTTGCATCCCCACTGCAAACAAATAATTATTTATAATAATTAAAAACAGGCAAATATGGAAAATAAAACTTTTTCGATTCTGCAGCGGGAAAATTTTTGAATTCAAAAACGCACAACATAACCTCAAAGTCAATTTTTTAAAACCCCGTTTTCAATTGACATAAATCGAACAAATTCATTGTCTATCCTTTTCTAACTTAATCAAAAAGAAAAAGACAGCGATATAGTTGTTGTAGCTAATCGATTAAAAATAATCAAAGCGATGTTGCCGTTTCGAGAGGCCATGCGGTTGTCAAACCGGTATTATAACTTCACGAAAAGGATCGCTTCGTTTTGAAAAATGAAAATAAAAAGAAGAATTTCCATAATTTCTTGTTTGTGATGATGTGATGGTGATTTTTCCCGTTTAATTAATTGTTTAGGATTCGTATTTTCTGGCTTATATAGGCCTATATAAAACCTGAAATAAAAATAAAAAGAACCGAATGGCCACCGACAGCGACATTTGTAGAATTTGCGTCCAAGAAGTGAATGATTATGAGGAGGCCAAAGACATTGATTTGGGCAAGCTGAGGAATCTCATAAAAACGAACGTTTTACCTAAATGGGTGGGTTAATTTAACTGGTAGTTAGAGCTTTAATAAACCAGCCCTATTTATTTTCACATGGGAGAGGCAACTGGTACAAAAAACAAAAAGTTTTAGTTTTAGTTATAACTTTAGAAAACCTAGCCCTTAGCTTATAAGGGTTAGTTAACTATTGACTCAAACTAAGGTAGACTTTATGAAGAAAAACTTAAGGGTAGAATTCTTGCATTAATTGGACAAAACCAGAAGTCATTTTTAAATGGAGATGGGAAAAAATGGCCCCAAAAGGCAAATAAACACACATTTTAAACCTCCAACAAAGTTTAATTAAGGACCAGTTTATCAGTAAATAAATATATAGTTTAGCTGTCAGTTAACTAGTGATTATCATTAGCTAAATAGATGGTTGAACACTAATAAACCAGTCCTAAGTGTGGTTAGATCAATCATAGTTTGTTAAGTCCTTGTTAATTAACAAAAACCTTGATGATATTGTTTTTTTAAGGCACAATCTGAGGTTTCTGTTAACTAACAGGGACTCAAGACTGGTTTATCAGTGGACAGTTATTCAGTTTAGCTATTGGTTAACTAATAATTATTTTTAGCTAAACTGATAAGCTGGTCTTAAGTGTGGCTAAATCAATAATTTCTTAAGTCCTAGTTAGTCAACAAAAACTTTACATTGTGACAATGTCAATAATGGTTTTTGTGAAGCACAATCTAAGGTTTTTGTTAGGGGCGAATTTATAGTCATAAGTTTAGAATGGACACTTGCTACTATTTGGCAAGTTGGTCATGTCAATTCTAAACATGCAAGTCTTCCTAGGTCTGAGAAAAACTCAAGGAGTAACTATAAATTCAGCCCTGCTAACTAACAAGAACTTAGAACAGATTTATTAAGTAGATGGTTATTTAGTTTAGCTGTCAGTTAACTAATAATTATCTTCAGCTAAACTGATAAATTGGTCCTAAGTGTAGCTAAATCAATCATTTGTCAAGTCCTTGTTAGTCAACAAAAACCTTAGATTGTGGCACAATGTAAATAATGGTTTTTGTGAGGCACAATCTAAGGTTTTTGTTAGGGGCGAATTTATAGTCATAAGTTTAGAATGGACGCTTCCTACTATTCTAAACATGCAAGGCTTCCTGGGTCTGAGAAAAACTTAAGGACTGACTATAAATTCAGCCCTTTTAACTAACAAGGACTTAGGACAGGTTTATCAGTGGATGATTATTTAGTTTTGCTGTCAGTTAACTAATAATTATCTTTAGCTAAACTGATAAAGTGGTCTTAAGTGAGGCTAAATCAATCATTTGTTAAAGTCCTAGTTAGTCAACAAGAACCTTAAATTGTGACACAATGTCAATAATGGTTTTTGTGAGGCATAATCTATAAGGCTTACTTAAGAATACTTGCTACTATTTGACAAGTTGATCAGGTCAATTTTAAACGTGCGAGGCTTCCTAGGTCTGAGAAAAATTCAAGGAATGACTATAAATTCAGCCCTTAATTAACAAAGATTTAGGACTGGTTTATGAGTGGAACTAAATAACTGTTCACTGATATACTGGCCCTTAACAAACGATTGATTTAACACCACTAATGCAAATACTTATATCAAATTTTCCTAAAAAAAAAAAACCATCTCTATTTGCAAATTTCTCATTAGAAGTGCAAATAATTTGATTTTTCCCCCTTAGGGTCTGTTTCTTAATAGTGAGTCACTTCCGGGTTGGTTTTAACGCCGGGGTATACATGTCCACTTGCAATGTTGAGTCTGGAGTTATGCTTAACCTAGGGATGACTTGTTATTGAGAAACCAGCCCTTAAACCTCCTAAAAAAATAACGAATTGATGGCCAGCAGTAATTATAAAAGATCTAATGTGGCTTAAATATCTTCTGTCATAATTATCGGTTCAAGTTAAAGCACATTTTCATAACTAGGGGTTAATTTAAACATGATTAATGGCAATGCTCCCATTGATAAACTAGTCCTAAGCCAAACTACACCTTATTTCAATAATTGTAATTCAGAAAACAGAAACTCAATTTGAGAATTCAAATTTCATTGCAGAAGAATGGGGAAAATGAAATTCAGATTGGGAAGTTGAAATTCAGAATTTTTTTTTTATCAGAAGGTGTAAATTAAATTGCAAATATAATGGGATACGAGGGGTAAACCGCTGAGAAAAATGTGTACACTAATTTCCAGAATGCTTACTGATTCCTCTAATTCCCTTAATTTCCTTCTAATTTCTCTGATTTTTCTAATTCCCAACTAATTTCTTCACTAATTTACTAAATTTATCTCAAAATATTGTAAAATAAATCAAGAATGTCTAGATGTTTGCACTATTACATGTTAAAATAAAGAAGTCTGTGAAAAAGCTGAAAAAAAAAATGTTTACATGGATAGCTTCTGTTTAGTGGGTGATTTGTCCTTTTCATAGTCAAGAATGGAATTTTGGGAAGGTGATTTCTCCTTGTAAATCTTTTCAACAGGTCAGTACTTACACATCCATTATCATTAGACTGATCTTCTGAAAGCCAGCAGCACAATGACTTGGTTATTTTCATTTTCTAACCTGATCTACTACCCATAAAACTTACCTTATGGTGTTGACAGATTTCGCATTGCATTAGAACATACATCTAGAAAAGTATACTTATTTGAATGCACAGAATGAAAAGATCTACCAAAATGACTATGGAAAGACTCACAGGAATTTATTGTCTTATGCAGGTCTACCGAGGTATGTGTGCATATAAAAGGTGGAAATAGCGATTCATCTGATATGGTATAATTATCAATAAGATAATTTGAAAATTTAACTACAACTTCGAGATTCAAAAACAACAGTACATAGAGTTAAACACATAAATTATGAAGATATCGCAAATCAACTGGAATGATGACAATATAGATCATGTATGAGCCAGGTTTTACTCAGAACTAGAGACAATATTAGATAGCAGCAACAAATACAAAACCAAAAAAGTGAATAACCTGAAACCGTGGATAACTAACAACCACATCCGAGACTGTAGGAGAAAAAGGGGTACTTACGTACCAACAATCCCACTGACTACAAGGAATATCGCACCTTCTCCAACACAAAAAATCAGAAAAAAATTTGGAATTTACATAGGAAATAAGTTGGTTTCTCAGTTAGTTTGGTACGAGGTTTGGAACCAAAAGTGCACAACACAAAATTGGCATCACGATTAATAGAATATATTACCGTATTTTCGATTGGAATAACGTGTACATTTATACAGTTGTATATTTTAACGGAGAAAAGGTTTATTTCAAGGGGTAAACCACCATCCCAGAGTTAGTGCAAACAATTCCTCAAAGAGGAATTTTTTTCGCATAATTCCTCAAAATTCCTGCAAATTCCTCCAGATACCCCGTCACAAATTCCTCCAAATACCCCACCACGAACTTCTCCAAATACCCCACAAATTCCTCTAAAAAAAAAAAGAAAATTTTGAAACTTTCTGCATGTAAAGAGGAAGGTCAGAAGATCATTTTCCCAAAATTTAAAAGTTTTCCAGTGGAAAACAGCAACATGAAAAATCTTGGAAATCAACCTACACAAACTGAATTAGTTGAAAATACAGTCTCCCATATTTCAGAGTTTTCCTGGAAAACTAGTGCAGGGAAAATTTTGAAAGTTTTTACATGTAAAGAGAAAGATGAGAAGCTCATTTTTCCAAAATTTCAAAATTTTCCAGTGGAAAACAGCAACATGAAAAATCTTGGAAATCAACCTACAATAACTGAATTAATTGAAAATACAGTCTCACACATTTCAAAGTTTTCCTGGAAAACTAGAAAAGGGAACATTTTGAAACTTTTTGCGTGTAAAGAGGAAGGTGAGAAGCTCATTTTCCAAAATTTCAATTTTTTCCAGTGGAAAACAGCAACATGAAAAATCTTGGAAGTCAACCTATAAAAACTGAATTAGTTGAAAATACAGTCTCACACATTTCAAAGTTTCCCTGGAAAACTAGTGAAGGGAAAATTTTGAAACTTTTTGCGTGTAAAGAGGAAGGTGAGAAGCACATTTTCCCAAAATTTCAAATTTTTCTAGTGGAAAATAACAACATGAGGAATATTGGAAATCAACCTACAATAACTTGATTAATTGAAAATACAGTCTCACACATTTCAAAGTTTTCCTAGAAAACTAATGAAGGGAAAATTTTGAAACTTTTTGCATGTAAAGAGGAAGGTGAGAAGCTCATTTTCCCAAAATTTCAAATTTTTCTAGTGGAAAATAACAACATGGGGAATATTGGAAATCAACCTACAATAACTGAATTAACTGAAAATACAGTCTCACACATTTCAATGTTTTCCTGGAAAACTAGTGAAGGGAACATTTTGAAACTTTTTGCGTGTAAAGAGGAAGGTGAGAAGCTCATTTTCCCAAAATTTCAAATTTTTCTAGTGGAAAATAACAACATGAGGAATATTGGAAATAAACCTACAATAACTGAATTAACTGAAAATACAGTCTCACATATTTCAGAGTTTTCCTGGAAAACTAGTAAAGGGAAAATTTTGCAACTTTTTGCATGTAAAGAGGAAGGTGAGACGTTCATTTTCCCAAAATTTCAAATTTGTCCAGTAGAAAACAGCAACATGAAAAATCTTGGAAGTCAACCTACAAAAATTGAATTAGTTGAAAATGCAGTTTCATATATTTTAAAGTTTTTCTGGAAAACTAGAAAAGGGAGTTTTGAAACTTTTTGCATGTAAAGAGGAAGCTGAGAAGCTCATTATCCCCAAATTTCAAATTTTTCCAGTAGAAAACGGCAACATGAAAAATCTTGGAAATCTACCTACAAAAACTGAATTAGTTGAAAATACAGTCTCACACATTTCAAAGATTACCTGAAAAACTAGAGAAGGGAAAATTTTTTCTATGTAAAGAGGAAGCTGAAAAGGTCATTTTCCCAAAATTTCAAAATTTTCCAGTGGAAAACAGCAACATGAAAAATCTTGGAAATCAACCTACACAAACTAAATTAGTTGAAAATGCAGTCTCCCACATTTCAAAATTTTCCTAGAAAACTAGTAACGGGAAAGTTTTGAAACTTTTTGCATGTAAAGAAGAAGGTGAGAAGCTCATTTTCCCAAAGTTTCAGATTTTTCCAGTGGAAAATAACAACATGAGGAATATTGGAAATCAACCTACAATAACTGAATTAACTAACTGAAGAAAGTAATTTCCCGACTAATTCCCTGACTAATCCCCATAATTCCCCAGTAATTTCTCTAATTCCCCAATAATTCCTCTAATTCCCAACTAATTCCTCTAATTTCTTACTAATTCCTGAAGATTGTACAACAAAATTTCCCTGCGGTTAACCCCTCGATGGAATATGGTATATTAATTTTTGTTATAAAAATGTAATTAGGTATGTTAAATGATACTCTATTTCTAAGCTTATAGGTATACTGAATAAAAACTTGATTTGTATGAAATACGATTTTTTAATTGAACTTTTTCATAATATAAAACTCTACTGGTGAAAGATTTATCAACGAATATGGATTGATAAATCTAAATTCATCAAATTGGTCCTTTTTCCAGAAACCAGAAGACTTCCAGAACCACTTAATATGCGGCACTTGCATCACAAATTGTCGCACGATGCAGACGTTGCGCCGCTACGTAAAAAGTTCAAACGGCACGTTGTTGAACTACCGTAAGGAAGCACGGAAATTCAAAAAAAAGCCAACCAAATTTGATCTGAGGCTGGCGCCACGGTTCAAAGACGTGCCTAAGGAATTGGAAATTTGCCGCCTGTGCTCGGAAGCCACCGAATCTCAACACGTCGCCATTTACCTCTATGATAATGACATTAATCTTCTACCATTGACTAATGTCGACAAAATGCTAAAGGCAATTGGGATTTTTTTGGTAAAATATCACTTTTTAGTATTCATATAAAATAAATTAATAATAAAAACATTATTTAGAGGAATTTAGAAGATACATTAAAACCAATAATGTGCTGCACTTGTTGGCAAAGGGTTCAAGTATGTTACGCCTTTCGAGCTCGTTTAAATGCAGTCACAGAAAAAGTGCAACATTATCGAAGACTCCATGAAACAACTTACGAAACCAGAAACGATTTAAATGACATAAAAATAATGTGGCATCTTTTGGCAATACCGGAACCTCTTGAAGAAGATGACGATGATGATATGCCAATAATAGATGTTTGTACAGTTGAAAGCCCAGTAAAACCTAGTCATAAGCCTGAGCCCACAGTCCTAATGGACCACCGACTACCATCAGTCTATTTAAAGCGATTGAATGTGAATATCGAACAAATGCCTTTACTAACATCAGAAATAGATTCAGAAGATTCCAAGACAACTAAAAACGAAATACGCAAAAGTCTTCGTACAAGTACAAAGACTGCCAAAGTGACAAACACTAATGAATTTACTACAAAAATTATCCAAGTTAAAACACCAAAAGTGACCACGAGACGTACAAGGTTGAGCATCAAAAACCAAATCGATCAAGAGTCTGACTACAACGATTTGCTGATGCTAACCAAAGAGGAAATCATTAGGCCTTTCAGGCAGCAAAAACGCAAAAACGCACCTTTGCTGAAACCCAGCGAACCAGCAATCAAGGAAATTTTAGCTGACACCAAAAAATCCAACCTCGAGTATGCTTCGTTTGAGGCTCGGTGTCAGGGGTTTATTTCTGATAGCGATGATGAATTTGTTGAGAGCACCGGTCCTTTAAATAATAGTAATGGTAAGTGGTTGACGTTGATTTACTTAGTAGTCTTAGAATATTTTGCACCATAGGTGATTTTCACATTTTTCAAAAACATACAGGGTGTCAATTTGAAAACTTCCCACCCCTATTATCTCAGATTGGAAAAATTTTCGAAAAAATCCCTGAAACACGTCAACTATAATTTGAAGGGGGATGAGTTTTTATGCAAAATTCACCTTCCCTCTTTCAACCCCAGAGCCACCCCCTAGAAAATTTTAAATGGGAAAGGGGGTCAAGTGATACATCATTGTGGAGGGTTTTCAATTCCATACATTTTGGTACAAAATTTTAATCCCTAAGTTCAACTGTTTTGGAAATATTGACAGTTGAAAATTGACTTTTTTGCAACTTTGACAGGCTGCAAAACCTAAACGGTTAATTTTAGAGGAAAACCGATTTTACATTTTTCATGAAAATCTAAGACAAAAATGTAAAATCGGGTTTCCTCTAAAATTAACCGTTTAGGTTTTGCAGCCTGTCAAAGTTGCAAAAAAGTCAATTTTCAACTGTCAATATTTCCAAAACAGTTGAACTTAGGGATTAAAATTTTGTACCAAAATGTATGGAATTGAAAACCCTCCACAATGATGTATCACTTGACCCCCCTTCTCATTTAAAATTTTCCAGGGGGTGGCTCTGGGGGCTAGGGGGGTTGAAAGAGGGAAGATGAATTTTGCATAAAAACTCATCCCCCTTCAAATTATAGTTGACTTGTTTCAGGGATTTTTTCGAAAATTTTTCTACTCCGAGATAATAGGGGTGGGAAGTTTTCAAATTGACACCCTGTATTTTAATTATTTTATTAGAGTGTTGGTAATTTTAAAGGTAGGATGAATATCGGCTTTAGCCAATGAGAGGGCTTTTTCAGTCATGTAATTTTTTTGTTTAAATTTGCTATTTTGCTAAAGTATAGAGCAGTGGAGTGGGGTCTTGAAATATACCTCACATTCTTTGGGTTTTTATCTGCAAATCTCTATACTTTAGTATCTTTTCAGCTTACTTTTCCTTGATATTTCAGTTCGAGGAGATTGCTACATCTATTATTAGGCACCTTTTGTTTTCTTTTTACTTTATAATTATGTCTGGCTTCTTGGCAGCTATTGTTCTATCTGTTTGTACCTGAGTACCCCAAATGACTGTTATGTAGTCTTTGTGTTTGAACTATTTGTTTTCAACCTCTATGGTATAGTATTTGCAGATGTTATGATGAAGCGTTGAACATATTTTGTTGTGTCTTTTTATGTATTCATGTTTAGCGAGTACTGGACATCCTGTTGTTGTGTTCGTGTCTGGCATGCTGGACTCATTGTCAAACTTCATGACAAATATTTTCTGCCATTATCTCTTGTCAAAATTCTCTTAATTTCCTTGAAGCCAGAAGTTTCTGTGTCAAACTCAACAAAGATACTTTCTCAAATGTCAGACCTATAGAAGCAGGAGTTCCTCAAGGTTCTGTCCTGGCTCCACTGCTCTAAAATCTCTACACGGCTGACATCCCCAATAATCCCCACACTAAAATGTCCATCTACGCAGATGACACTTGTATTTACACTTCACAAAAGTACCTACTTACATCACATACACAAAATCACCTTGACTCCATAATTTTCTGGGTAAAATTATGGAAAATTAAAAGTAACATCGGTAAGACCCAAGCCGTCCTGATGTCCAATAATCGTGACAAATATACGAGGGGTAAGTCACCTTGGTATTTTATTGTACAAGCACTTGGTATATTATAGGTATTTTTGGTATTTTTTTTTGGTAATTATGGTATTTTTTGTGGTACTTCTGGTAATACTTGGTAATTATGGTATTTTTTTTTTGGTAATATTTGGTATTTAATAGGTATTTAATTGGTATTTATCATGGCCGGAACACAATGCGCATGTGCGGCAACATATGACGCCATTTATTTTATTACCCAAAAGGGTTTTGTCTCGGGATTCCTGTTGAATAATTTATTGAAGAATTATTGGAAAATAAGAAAAATATAGGGAATATAATTATTTTATTATTACAACATTATCTACAATAGTTATTTATGCAACAAGTGTGTAAAGTGAACCTTTTTTCACGAATGTGAATTTTGACGCACGAGCCGAAGGCGAGTGTGACAATCACATGAGTGAAAAAAGGTTCACTTTATTTTATTGCATACAAAATTTTTTCTACTACCAATCAAATATGTGTGAAAAAATAGATTTAGACAAATACTTTACGAACTAGTGCGTGAAGTATTTTCACTTTACGCACTAGTGCGTGAAGTAATTTACCAGAAAAATACTAGTGACAGTGTCAACATCTGTCATTGACATTACTTTACGCACCAGTGTGTGAAGTGAATTACTTTACTCATTAGTGCGTGAAGTGGAATTTTACGTCTTCTGAATAGTGCGTAAAGTGAGTACTTTACGCACGGTAGTAGAAAAATAATATTTTATCTATTCTATATTCAATTCACATGCCAGGTAAAATCCTAAGGGCCGGCCCTCACTGAAAAGGTTGGAAAGGATAACGCACACCTATTATGGGATTTTCGGGCTCTATGGATTTTGCCCATTTTGTGATATGTTATAGAGGATTTAATCCTTAATATTTTTCAAATGGGACGAAATTTTGTAGGTATTATGGTCTTTGAGATATGAGCGTTGAAAGATGAACTTTTTTGCGACTTTTTGTGTGGAGAGTATACGAAATGGTGTTTATCAGTCAAAATATTGACAGGTCTACATATTTTACGTCACAACAAATTAATGTCAACATCGGCTAAAGCCGGGACCGCACTGGGACCAATGTTGGCGCCAGTGGGGTCCAGGCCTTAGCCTATATTGACATTTGTGAGTGACGTAAAATAGGTGAACCTGTCAATATTTTGACTGACAAATACCAGTATTTCGTATACTCTCCACACAAAAAGTCGGAAAAAAGTTCATCTTTCAACACTCATATCTCAAAGACCGTAATACCTACAAGATTTCGTCCCATTTAAAGGTTGCTAAGGATTAAATCCTCTATAACATATCAAAAAATGGGCAAAATCCATATTGTTGGAAGAAAAGAACGAGTTGCTACAAAAAAACAACCGTCTAATGGGTGAGAAAATTGGAAAACTCCAAGAAAATTTAGAAAAACAGAAAAGTGAGGTTAAAACTCCTTCAAAAATTCCGCCAAAGAAATCGCTGTCATCATCATCAAGTAAGCAGGCCGGAAAATCGGACCAATCTGACAACAACGTAAAAAAGTCCGGCGGAGCCGATGGTGCGGAACGATTCTGTTCCCCAACCAAAAACCATGCTGCGCCACTGTCTCCAAAGTGGCAGCTGACAGACGACAAGAACCAAAACAACAAAAACATTGCACAAAATGAAAATTCCCTTTCTATAAAAATTGTTGAAAAATCCATAAATGATGAGCCACAAACTCCAGGCATAATGCAAAATGGTTGGACACAGGTTGCATATGGAAGAAGAAATACATCCCGCAAAAATCCGGTACATGGAGGATGCAAACAGTTTTCCTTGCAGGTTGCGCCAAAGAAGGCCTACATTTTTCTCACTGGACTCTCGTCTACGGTGACTGAAGAAGAGGTCCAAGAATACATAAAAAATAGCGCTGCAGCTGATTCCAAGTGCTACAAAATGAAGACGAAGAGCAGCAGCTACAAAAGCTCCTTTAAAATTGAAGTGGCAGAAGAAGACACAAGTAAAATAATGGTGCCAGAAATATGGGGTGAAGGCATCATGGTGAACCATTTTACCCATGCCAGACGAAGCCCAAGGACACGGGCAAATTAGCCAACAATAGAGCCATACCAGACTCTACAAGTAGTGAGGAGAAACTCTCTGTGCTACACCTTAATACCCAATCCATCCGAGACATCACAGATGAACTGGAAGCATTTATCGTGGATAAAGCCATTGGTATAATGTGTGTAACTGAGCATTTTTTGAAGGATGATGAAATAAACTCTCTGAGGATTGGCAACTTGGAAGTGGCAGCATCATTCTGCCGGAAAATGTATACAAGAGGAGGAACAGCAGTCTTACTTGAAAAGGGCAGTAGTTATAAAGAGTTGACAGATCTAAGGGAGCTGAGTGTGGAAAAATGTATTGAAGTTTGTGGAGTAAGATCATATAAATACAACATAGTAATACTATCAGTATATAGATCTCCTGGGGGAGATTTTGACATCTTTTTAAACAATCTTGATAAAGTTTTAAATAAATTGGATACACATAATAAGATAGTTCTTGCAGGTGATTTTAATGTGAAATTCTGTACAAATGAAAAAACATGTAGAGAGTTAAATGACATGCTGCAGTCGTATGGATTAGCCCAGACGGTTTTTGAACCTACCCGCGGTAACAACTGCCTGGATAATATTTTTATAAATTTTTCAGAAACTGAATACCTTGCTTGCATTGTAAAGCCAGGCAAATCAGATCACGATGGGCAACTTGTCTCATTAAATTGTCCTCAACAAAGTAATCAAAAATACTCAAAAAAGATTTGTCAGCCCATAACACAGGTAGGAAAAAACACATTCTATCAAAAAATTTCTGAAATTGATTTTAGATTTATAGACTTTCCTACTTCTGTAGAGGTAAAGTTTCAGAACCTTGTGCAGTTAATTGAGTTGGCATATAATGAGTCGTTCCCAAAAAAAACATATAAAGTAAAGGAAAATCAAACAAATAACATTGATTGGTTTAATAATGACCTAAAAAATATGAGAGAACACCTTCAGTACCTAAATGACATCTTTAAACTCCATCCAACAAATCAGCTTAAGGAATATATAAAAAATCTCCAACAAAGCTACAAAAAAGCTATAAAAAAGGCCAAAATTCAGTGCAATGAAACTAAAATAAAAAACTCTTCCAACCCAATTAGATGCATGTGGGAAATAATTAATGAATATCGTGGTAAAACAAAGCCTTCAAAAAATGACCAAACAACATTGACTGCACAAG